GAAAGAAGAAGCAGCAGGAGGGCAGGAGCAGAAGGAAAGGGAAGGAGCAAGGACCAGTTGTAGGTAACAGGAACAGAAAGTGGCTGATCCCGTAAATAATTTTTTGGCAGTCTTCCCTGAATGGAGCGTGAGCAGCGATTCTCCCACTGCTGCAGTGACCTGGAATATCTGCTAATGCAAATGTCTGCCTGTCTCACACTGAGCTCTGCTACAGCATCCCATCGATCCATGTTCCACAGAGTGCAAACATGAATGCCACCTTATCTCTTGCTGCTTGGAGCCTTCCAGGCCCAAACTGCTCTCTCATTCGAAGGCTGTACTGTACCGTGGATGCTGGGGTGCTGTGTGATGCGAACCCACACTAACCCATGTGAAATCTCTTGTGATTTTCTTTATACCTGTTATGTACGCATGTGAGGAGAACGGCATTCGTGTGACGGCTTCCTCAGCAGCGAGGGGTCCTGTTGTCAGAATAAACAAACTCTTCAGCCTCTGACATTCTCCTGCCAGTTCAGGAGCGGGGTCCACAGGGATGCTAAGTGCAGCTCCACAGCCACGTTATTCCGCAGCACTGCACTCGGGAGGGGAATGTGCAGAGAAAACGCTCCCTCCCTGCATTGCCCCGTCCCACGTGTGATACCGACACAAACCTGGTCACCCCAAAGGGGGAAGGTGTTTCTGACAGAAGTCGTTGTCAATAGAAAACTTCTCCCCAGATTTCTTCTCCGTTTTCTGGCTCCAGGAAAGTTATTGTCAGTGGCGGAGGGGTCCTTGGGGTCAGGAGCACCGCCAAGGTCCCGGATTCGCCTTCGCTGAGGGGCTGCCCAGGGGAAGGTCAGGCGTTGGTGTCCTGCCACACGTTCACCCTGCAACCTGTGGTGAAACTGGGACGAGCCGCTGCCTTGACACAGGCTCCAAACCAAACCTTGCCTGCTGGTCCCTGTGACGCCAAACCTCCAAAGGCGTCTGTCTTTCAAAAAGAGACTTTATTTTGTTGTTTTTTCCTACTTTATGCAGGCCCAGGCACTGCTTTGCACCCAAGCTCTGGCATCCCCAGGCAGAGCGTGATCCCGCTCCACGGAAACCTCCCAGCGCCCTCCTGGGAAACGCTGCGCGGAGGATGGGCCCCGAGGCCGGGGCTCCGTCACCGTTCCCACCTTCTGCCGGGAGGAAGGAGCGGGCAGGGAGAGGAAGGCAAACGCTGTCGGTGTGTTCAGCGGGAGACAGGGCGCCGGCAGGCTGGGGCAGGACGGCAGCGGGACGAGAC